ACTCGAGGGCCACAATGGGTTTTTAAACTGGACCGGAGGGCACGGAACAAAAGCATGGATGGAGTGTTTGTGTGAACTAATATAAATTCAAAGTAAACATCATTACATAAAAGGGTACGGTCTTTTTTTTTTTTTTTTTTAGTTTTATTCATTTCAAACGGGCCGGATCCGGCCCGCGGGCCGTAGTTTGCCCACGGCTGCTTTAGTCTGTGGGCCAACGTTCTATCCAATGAGCAAAACGGGTTAGGGCCAGTGTTGGTTTTTTAAATTGGAACATAATTCTTAGGCTAGATTTGACCTCAGAAATGACTGGTTATGTTAAAAAAAAGTTGCTATCATCCTTCATCCCATTTCTAGTTTCTGCCTAGTGTTTTTCAGAATGGATATTAGGGTCCTTGCTTCTGCAGTAGTTTCAGGCCCAGAAAAGGCTTTGAAAGGGTTCCTTGTAATGAGGCTAAAAGAGATGAGGAAAGACTTGAGGATTTTTAGTAAGGTGAGTCAGGATGAAGGGAAGAAGCCCAGAGATATACAGGATAAAGCAGAGAATAAATGAAATTCATTAGAAATCAAATATGAAAATCATTGCCTGAAATTTTACTTTTTAGTGCCAAAAGTTGCATCCCTAGTTTTCCCATGAACTTTGTTTTTGACCTCTTTTGTATAAGTGAGTTATTTTGTTGACCACTCATTGCCTTTGTGGTCTTCAGATTTGTATATAATTTTTTGGCATAATTGGTAAAATATTGACATATCTAGGACATCATGGCAAAAAAAAAAGTTCTTTTATTCCCAATGTCACAAGTTCAGTGCCTCATAATACTTAAGCATGGAAATTCTTTTGTTGTTGTTGTTGTTAATCCTTACCCTAGGATACTTTCTATTGATTTTTAGAGAAAGTAGAAGGGAGGGAGAGAGACACAAAGAGAGAAACACCGATATGAGAGAGACACATTGATTGGTTGTCTCCCGACCAGGGCTAGGGATCGAGTCTGCAACCAAGGTACATGTCCTTGACTGGAATCGAACCCTGGACCCTGCAGCCCACCGGCCAACGCCCTAGCCACTAAGCCAAACCAGCTAGGGCAAGCATGGAAATTCTTCTGAAAACTTAGGCCTAGGAAAAAATATTGATTCTGAATGGTTGCTATACTGATAACCAAGTCTGAATATTACTGCATTTTTTTTTTTGCCAGAATCTCCTTGTTGGACATGGGGTATGATTGTCCTTGTCCCATTTGGGGAACTCTCTGAAAACTGAATTATGAATTATGATAAATAGAGCATCTGATAAGGGAAGGTTAAGAATGTTTATGTGTAGTTTATCTGGTTATTTGCAAGGCACCGATTATCTGTGTGATAGATATTGGGAGTGGAGAGGGTTAGGTAAGTTTGAGGCACCTTATTAAAAAGGTTTTAGCCTAGCTGTGCCTCGGCGTTGGGTGCACAATGGCGCCAAGGTCCTTTCTCCTGATAGTGCAAACTCTTGATTCCTTCTTCCTGCATCCATTTCCCACTGAGGTCACCCAAGCAACAGAAGCAACAGAAGCAAAAGCAAGGGTGGTAAACAGTCGGAGAGGGCCATGTCTCATCCTCTTCCTGCCCCTCCCCAACTTCCATCCACCACCCACTGTCGCAGAGCTGTAAAAAATGGGCAGTTTGCAGAGGCACAGCTGAAGCCTGCAGGAAGTGGAAGATCTAAATATCTTATATTCAACTAGAGCTGCATGCTACGTAAAGGAAGGAAACTGCAGTGACTACATTCAAGATTGTAACATGGCTCTGGAACTTCATTCTCAGTCAAACCTCTTTTTCAACTGAGCAATGGCCAATGAAACTTTAGAGAAATATCAGAAAGCTTATGTGAATTATAAAAGTGTTCTGCAAATAGACTATGGAATCCAGATAGCAAATGATAGTATTAACAGAAGAACAAGAATTTTAATGGATCTGAATGCATCTAGCTGGTGGGAGAAGCTTTCACCCATCGCTTTAGTACCCATTTCTGTGCAGTTGTGAGCTTGGCAGCCTGCGACAGAGATGCCCCCAGACTAAGTGGGAGATTCCTGCAGCCATTACCAGCTGGGCGTCACCGATGAAAAAAAGTTTAAAATTCTTAAGAAAGGAAATCAATGTGTAAAGGACAAAAACTATAAAGATGCCCATGGTAAATAACACGAATGCTTAAAGATTAACAATAAGGAATGTGCTTTTTATACAAACAGAAGTTGTTACTTGAAGCTGTACCAGTTTGCAGAGGCTAAGCAGGATTGTGATTAGGTGCTTCAGATAATGGGTATGTGAAAGCATGCTGTAGACATGCTCTTGTTCATAAAGGAGTCAAGAATCATCAGAAAAGTTTAAATGATCTCAATAAAGTTCTACTAGACTCAAATATTATTGAGGCAAAGGTGGAACTAGTAGCCAGATTCCTTAATATTAAGGAGTAGAGGTCCAGTGCACAAAATTTGTGTACTGGGGGGGGGGGCGGTCCCTCAGCCTAGCCTGTGTCCTCTCGCAGTCCAGGACCCCTCACTCCTTACTGCCTGCCTGCTCGCTGCTCCTTAGTGCTGCTGCAGAGGTGGGAGAAGCTCCCGCCATCGCCGAGGCACTTGCCAGCCGTGAGCCTGGCTTCTGGCTGAGCAGCGCACCCCTGTGGGAGCGCACTGACCACCAGGGGGCAGCTCCTGCATTGAGCATCTACCCCCTGGTGGTCAGTGTACATCATAGCAACTGATCGTTCTGGTCATTCCACCCTAACGGTCGCTTAGGCTTTTAATATATAGACTAGGGGCCTGGTGCACAAAATTCGTGCACTGGGGGGGGGGGTGTTGTTCCTCAGCCCAGCCTGCCCCCTCTCACATACTGGGAGCCCTCAGGGGATGTCCTAGTGATGGCTTAGGCCCGCTCCCTGCTCCCCTTGGGGAGCGGACCAAAGCCACAGTCTGGCCTCCCTTTGTGGGAGGCGACCAGGCTGATCAGGGGAAGGTACCAGCCCCATCACCCTGCTGCTGCAGCCACTGCCAGTCATCGCAGCCACCAAGGTGTTTTCATCAACATGGACTCCAGTCCCTTCACCATGAAAAAATGACAACTTTCTTTAGGCATTTTCAAGATGTGTCTTTCATATAATAATAATTTCTTTATTATTTTTTTTATCCTCACCTGAGGATATGTTTCCATTGATTTTTAGAGAATGTGGAAGAGAAAGGGAAAGACAGAGAGAAACATCAAAGTGAGAGGAACACTTTGATTGGTTGCCTCCTGCATGAGTCCTGATCTGGGCCCCGGCCAGGGAAGAGCCTGCAACCTAGGTACATGCCGTTGGTCAGAATTGAACCCAGACGCTGCCATCAGCAGGCCAAGGCATTATCCACTGAGCCACACCGGCTAGGGCAGGATATGACATTTCTTAGCCCTCCAGCAGCGGACCTTCATTTTTTTCTCCAGGAGTGTGTTGAAAACCCTAGATCACCTTTTTGGATTCTTATTACCCAAGTTACTAAGAATATTACCAGTGGCATACAGGGAACTTAGCCAATGAGCGGTCAGAAAAGGTGTTTCCTCTGTAGTTCACACCAATCGCCGGCTTGCCTCCCGCCCCCCCCCCCCCCCCCCAAAAAAGTCTGAAGGATTCGGGGCAGGCTTCAGTTCGGGGGATGGTCTTAAATATCCAACCTCACCATTTTCTGGCATTTAAAAAAGGTAATCAAACATTTTATATATGTTATTATGAGTTCAGGACTGAGATTAGAACTGTTCTCTTTCTTTCCTGCTGCCCTCCCTTTCTCATGCACTCTCGTCTCTCTGACTTTCTTCCTGCCATTCATTTCATCATTCAGCTAAAAC